AGCATGGTTGCGCAAGCATCATGATATGGGGATGTTTCTCATACTACGGTGTTGGGCCTATTTATCGCATACCAGGCATCATGGATCAGTTTGAATACATCAGAATACTTGAAGAGGTCATGCTGCCTTATGCTGAAGAGGAAATGCCCTTGAAATGGGTGTTCCAACAAGACAACGACCCAAACACACCAGTAACCGTGCAACATCTTGGTTCCAAACCAACAAGATTGATGTTATGGAGTGGCCAGCCCAATCCCCGGATCTTAATCTAATAGAAAACTTGTGGGGTGACATCAAAAATGCAGTTTCTGAGGCAAAACCAAGAAATAGAGAAGAACTGTGGAATGTAGTCCAAACATCCTGGGCTGAAATACCTGTTCACAGGTGCCGGAAGTTGGTTGACTCCAAGCAACACAGATGTACAGCAGTTCTCAGAAACAGTGCTTATACAACTAAATATTAATTAAGTGATTCAAAGGAAAGCAAAATCTTCAAACATTTTTCAGTTTATATAGTGAATGTTTGAGTTTGTAAAGAAGAATACAAACACTGCTTTTTTTTTTCAACAGTCTAATATTCACTTTTCTTCAATTTCTTTAGAGGAACACCACAAATTTGATATATTTTTCTTCATGTTTTGATTTGGAATAGAATGTGTAGTGTTCCCAATGCATTTGTGTGTATGGAAATAAAAGCTATTAAAAGGATTTTGAGCTTTATTCACTTTTTTCAACACACTGCTATTATTTTTAACACAACTGTACATGGATGTTAATGCATTTCACACGATCACGTGCTTAATCATAACAAAGTAGGTTGGAAATGCTGTCTTATGTAGGCATCAAAGGAAACCTGTTCTAATCAGCATTCTCGAATCACAGAGAAACGCCTACTGATACAATGTTATAGTGTGTAGAACATATAAAAACATGTCAAAAAGAGGGAAACAAAAGGAAAGCAAGAGAAACAGTCAAATATATAAATGAAAATAGGGAGATAAATCATAAAAAAATGGATAAACAAACAAATATCCCCAAAAGGGTACATGGATTAAAAAATACCATAAACATCATGAATATACATATAAACATAAATACAAAAATACAAAGATTATATATCCATTCTTAAAATCATAAAGTCCATACAAATTCAGACAGATATGTGTCAAAAAAGTTCTTTCAAAAGATAAAACACCGAATGCATGGGAAGGAAACCTAAGGAAAAAGAAGAACATGATGTAGGAAAAAAAGGGGGGACATACTTCAAAGATGATCCATGGAAGTATGAATAACGTATGCAGTTTATACAGCCTATATACAGTAGTGTGTGTACATGTGTGTGCACTCACATGACACATACAAAATGCACCTAAACATGTATTAAACACATATAACGGGATGCATGTGCGTACATGTACATATATATGCATACACACATCGGAGTGAAGAAGGACAAGTTCTGAGTGCTAATAAAAATATGTGTTGTCCCATTCATGATTTAAACCCTGAGGGACACAAGTATTCAAATGAAATATCCAGAAAACCTCCCTTTTACGCAACCGCAAAAAGGTGTCACCACCCCTTTGGGATGGCCAACTTTTTCAATGACTTGTATCTGCACTGCAGATATATCTGCTGCATAACAGTTGTTGAAATGATGGTTAACACTAGTAGAAAGATGTTTTTCAATACTATACAGATGTTCATAAAAACTATCCCTTAAACGCCTGGTTGTGTATCCCACATACTGGACACGACAGTATTTACAAGTAATCAGATAACATAAGTAGTATTACAGTTAAAAAATTAGGTAATATTATATTCTTTATTATTGGCAGTAGAGTGAAACTTATTACCCTTCATAATGTGTGTGCAGTATGGAGAAGAAAGCGCACCACATCGATAGTTGCCTAAATTAGGGGCTCTTTTAGAGACCACATTGATGCCATCCTTGAGGATATCTGCACATATCTGATCTTCACATAAGACAGGGAGATAACATGTGACAATACGCTTGATGTCATTAAATTCCAAACTAAATGAGGTGGAAAAAGCAAGTTTCCTTCTATTCGAATAATCTGTGTGGGCACTATCATCCATCCTACTTCCACTGTCACTATGTAGTTTGTTTTTCAATAAATCTTCCCTCCGTCTAGAGGTAGCTATACAATTTTCCTGTATCCAGCATCCATTTAGGATAACCCCTCTGTAAAAAACATTGGTATGAGACAGAAGCCTCCCTGTCTAAATCTTGACCACTACAAATGCGGCGAATACGTAAAAATTGTCCAACAGGAATGCTTTTGATAGTATGTTTGGGATGATCTGATTGGGCTACCAGGAGAGTATTCCCAGACAGAGGTTTCCTATACAAACTTGTGGAAACTCTAAGGTTCTCCCCGGTCAAACAGACGTCCAGAAAGACAATCTCTCTCTCTCGTCCGATTGTCCACTGAATTACAAATTCCTATAATTATTGTTTAAATAAGACATAAAAGATTGTAAGTGTCCCAGGTCTTTATGCATAACAAATATGAGATCGTCAATGTATTGTAAAAACATTTTAATATGGCATCTAAAAGGGTTCTTGGTACCATAAATGTGCGACCATTCCCACCAACCCATATAAAGGTTGGTGAGTGATGGTGAAAATTTGGCTCCCATCGTGGCCCCACACTTTTGGAGAAAGAACTCACCATTAAAGGTAAAGAAATTGTGGGTGAGCAAATATTCTAACACATCCAAAATAAATAAACAATGTTTGATGCTCAACCCAGTATCATGTTCTAAATAAAAGGAAACCGCTTTTATTGCAAGATGATGGGGTATAGAAGAATATAAACTGGCAACATCGCAGGTAACCCACATGAAACTGTCATACCAACAGAGACCATCTGCGATATTGAGGAGATGGTTAGTGTCTCTTAAATAACTAGGAAGTTGTAAAATGAAAGGCTGGAGCTGGGAATCCAACCAATGACCCAACCTCTCGTTATAAGATCCAATGCCTGAAATCATGAGCCTTCCTTGTAGCGGATGTAAACCTTTATGAGTTTTAGGTAAGTGGTAGAATGTGGACAGTACAGGGAAATCAGGAACCAGGCTATCAGCCTCCCTTTGGATGAAAATACCAACATGGACTCCCTTATCAACGAGGCTTTTGAGAATTACTTTATATTTTTTTTGCAGGGTCACTTTTTAATCTGGTGTAGGTATCAATATCTAAAAGCTGTCTCTCTGCTTCCTTCTCATACATGTCAACCTTCATAACCACCACCATTCCACCTTTATCAGCATTACGGATGACAATTGATTTGTCATTTTCTAACTTTTTCAGAGATGTTCTTTCCCCATGTGTAAGATTATCATGCCATGGACTCAAACCAGCAGACACCTGCAATGCCAAGGTAGTCAGGTCTCACTTGACCAAATTTTGATATTTATCCATTCCAGGAGTACGTGCTAACACCTGGAACTGATGATGCTGGGGTATTTAAGGGATGGCCAGACCCACAGACTCTGCCTTGGTGTTGTGTTTGTCCTGGGCCCTGTATCTGTCCTGCATCCTGGTTCTGTCCCTCTGCCTGACCCTCTGTACTACGCTGCTTGTTACCTGTTTTGATCTCTGGCTTGTGACCCTGACCATCCCTCTGCCTGACCCTCTGTACTACGCTGCTTGCTACCTGCTGAACCTGGCCTGTGACCCGACCATTCTCTGCTTGCTCCCCCTGTACCTACCTGCCCAATTGATATTGACCCGGCCTGCCTGACGACGCTTGCTTGTATGTACTGTTATCTGTGGGTGGTTTGGTTTGGTTTGTTTGCACTGTATTATGTTTAGTATTGCACTGCGTTTATGTTTGTATGGTTAGTGTTAATAAATTGTATTGTTTATCACATATCTGAAGTCTGCGTTTCCCTGCATCAGTCACACACCTCTGGTCATACCTGGGAGCCCTGACATTACACCAAGGCCAATCCTGACCAGAAGTGGCTGCACAGGGAAGCCATCTTGGCTTGTTGATGGGAAGGATGGATCTTGATGAGGTTGAATATTTATATCTGCTAGTGTTTGATGACAGGGAGTATGCTTATCAAACTCTGAAGGAGTATACCCGGGATGAACTGCTAGAATGTATACGGCTCGCTCATGTTCTAGTAGATCAGGGCACAGAGTTCTCTGAGGTGCAGCCTTTGATTGAGGTTTGTGCTGAGTTGGTTTCATCTGGTTCCCCCGAATGCAGGGATGAATTTTTGCCACCATTTAGTGCAGACCAGGTAGAGTCCCTGGTGTGGTTTATTAGAGGATGATGTGGGTTACTTTCTGGAGCGTTATTCCACATGTTCACCACAGACACTAAGAGATTGTATAAACGCAGTACAGTCATTGACCAGACAGGCTTTGTGTAAGCTCAGCTTTGTTCAAACCCATACTGCAGACATGGACAGATTTGTTGCACCCAGCCTCAGTCAGCTTACAAAGACCCAGTCCTGCTTCTAATCTATTTCCTCAAAACTCTATTCCTGCATTCCCAACAGCTCCTCCTGCCCTGCTATCTACCGCATGTCAGTACCCTGTTCCCACTCGCTGCACCTATCCTGCCTTTAACCCTGTAAAAGAGCCCTCTGTAGCAACCGCTCCCTCTCCTGTTCCATCCTCCAGTTCTTCTCTGTCTCCAGCTGCTCCATTCGTTTGCAGACCTGCGTTTACTTGCAGTGCTCCAGTAGTTAAAACCAGAAAAAAGCGAAAATTCTTTCCAACCAATACCATCCTGCCAGTATCCAAACCGGTGAGCCTGCCTTCCGTGGTTCAGCCTGAAGCCTCTACTCAGCCCTCTACTCAGAAGCCTCTACTCAGCCTGAAGCCTCTACTGATGCCTCTACTCAGCCTGAAGCCTCTACTCAGCCTGATGCCTCTACTCAGCCTGATGCCTCTACTCAGCCTGATGCCTCTACTCAGCCTGATGCCTCTACTCAGCCTGATGCCTCTACTTCAGCCTGATGCCTGTACTGCAGCCTGATGCCTCTACTCGGCCTGATGCCTCTACTCGGCCTGAAGCCTCTACTCGGCCTGAAGCCTCTACTCGGCCTGATGCCTCTACTCGGCCTGATGCCTCTACTCGGCCTGAAGCCTCTACTCGGCCTGATGCCTCTACTCGGCCTGAAGCCTCTACTCGGCCTGATGCCTCTACTCGGCCTGAAGCCTCTACTCGGCCTGATGCCTCTACTCGGCCTGAAGCCTCTACTCGGCCTGATGCCTCTACTCGTGATGCCTCTACTCGGCCTGAAGCCTCTACTCGGCCTGATGCCTCTACTCAGCCGGACGCCGGCATTCAGCCTGATGCCTCTACCCAGCATGATGAACTGATCCAGCCTGACGATCCTATTAGGCCAGTTGACTCGATGCCCGCTGTTGATCCAGATGATCCGGTACCTGATCCGGTGCCCGCTGTCGAGCCAAATGACCTGATGCCTGGTGACCCAGTGCCCGCTGTCATACCTGGTGACCCGATGCCCGCTGTCGAGCCAGACAATCCGGTACCTGATGACCCGGTGCTCACTGTCGTGCCTGTTGACTCGGAGCCCACTGCCTTGCCAGATGACGCGGTGCCCGCTGTCGAGCCAAATGACCTGATGCCTGGTGACCCAGTGCCCGCTGTCCAGCCAGACGATCCAATGTCTGACCCAGTGCCCGCGGTCATACCAGTTGACTCGGAGCCCACTGCCTTGCCAGATGACGCGGTGCCCGCTGTCGAGCCAAATGACCTGATGCCTGGTGACCCGATGCCCCGCTGTCCAGCCAGACGATCCAATGTCTGACCCAGTGCCAGCGGTCATCCCAGTTGACTCGGAGCCCACGGTTGTGCCTGCCTGGTGACTCGGTGCCCGCCGCCCCGCCTGGGGGCCTGAGACCTGTCGTTCCGCCTGGGGGTCCGGCGCCCGCCACTCCGCCTGAGGGTCCGAGACCTGTCGCTCCGCCTGGGGGTCCGGCGCCCGCCGCTCCGTTTGAGGGCCCGAGACCTGTCGCTCCTCCTGGGGGTCCGGCGCCTGCCGCCGCTCCGCCTGAGGGCCCGAGACCTGCTGCTCCCCCGGGGGCCCGGTGCCTGCTGCCCCGCCCGGGGGCCCGGTGCCTGCTGCTCCCCCCGGGGGCCCGATGCCTGTCGCCCCGCCCGGGGGCCCGGTGCCTGCTGCCCCGCCCGGGGGCCCGGTGCCTGCCCCCCCCCGCCCCCGGGGGCCCGGTGCCTGCTGCCCCGCCCGGGGGCCCGGTGCCTGCCCGGGGCCCGGGGGCCCGGTGCCTGCTGCCGCCCGGGGGCCCGGTGCCTGTCGCCCCCGCCCGGGGGCCCGGCATGCCTGCTGCTCCGCCCGGGGGCCCGGTGCCTGCTGCTCCGCCTGGGGCCCGCTGCCTGCTGCTTCGCCTGGTAATCCCTGGTGGCCCGCTGCCTGCTGCTTCGCCTGCCCGATGTGCCTCTGCCCGGAGTCCTGCCCGATGTGCCTCTGCCCGGAGTCCTGCCCGATGTGCCTCTGCCCGGAGTCCTGCCCGATGTGCCTCTGCCCGGAGTCCTGCCCGATGTGCCTCTGCCCGATGTCCTGCCCGATGTGCCTCCTGCCCGATGTGCCTCTGCCCGATGTGCCTCTGCCCGATGTGCCTCTGCCCGGTGCCTCTGCCCGGTGCCTCTGCTCGATGTGCCTCTGCCCGGATGTGCCCTGCCCGATGTGCCTCTGCCCGATGTGCCTCTGCCCGGAGTGCTCTGCCTGATGTGCCTCTGCCCGATGTGCCTCTGCCCGGTGTGCCTCTGCTCGATGTGCCTCTGCCCGGAGTCCAGCCCGGTTGCCTCTGCCCGGAGTCCAGCCCGGTGTGCCGCTGCCCGGAGTCCTGCCCGTGTGCCAGTCTTTGATATCCCGCCAGTTACCAGACCCGGGCGGTGGAACATTTTGCCCAGCTAGGACTGTTTGGAGCGTCCTGAGGCCGCTCCTTGGGGGGGGGGGGTACTGTTAGGAATGGACTGGCCAGCAATGGTGGGACTCACCTGCCTTTTGATCTGCAGTACCAGGGCTGGCCAGCGGGTGCTCCCAGCAATCAGAGACTCAACCTTTCAGCCAGCTAACACCTGGAACTGATGATGCTGGGGTATTTAAGGGATGGCCAGACCCACAGACTCTGCCTTGGTGTTGTGTTTGTCCTGGGCCCTGTATCTGTCCTGCATCCTGTTTCTGTCCCTCTGCCTGACCCTCTGTACTACGCTGCTTGTTACCTGTTTTGATCTCTGGCTTGTGACCCTGACCATCCCTCTGCCTGACCCTCTGTACTACGCTGCTTGCTACCTGCTGAACCTGGCCTGTGACCCCGACCATTCTCTGCTTGCTCCCCCTGTACCTACCTGCCCAATTGATATTGACCCGGCCTGCCTGACGACCTTGCTTGTATGTACTGTTATCTGTGGGTGGTTTGGTTTGGTTTGTTTGCACTGTATTATGTTTAGTATTGCACTGCGTTTATGTTTGTATGGTTAGTGTTAATAAATTGTATTGTTTATCACATATCTGAAGTCTGCGTTTCCCTGCATCGTGCCGGCTCACGCTGGTGTGCGGGCACTAGGTCCTGGCCGGCTGCACTCGGGGCTGGCACCAATGACAGCGCAGGGCGCGGTATTTAAATACCCTGCGCTGACACTGATTGCCGTTTGGTCTATCCTGTGTTCCTGCTCCTGTACTCCTTGCTATTTTGATCGTTGCTGACCCGGATTGTCCCTGACTGTGCTGTATTCTCCTGCTTTGACCCCTGGCTTGCCTGACCTCTCTCTTGGATGCCCCCCATTGGATCTGATCTTCTGTTACTGACCCGGCGTGTGACCCGACTATTCTCTGCCCGCTGCCTTGTACCTCGCTGCTGCCACGGTTACCGACTCGGCCTGTCTGACCACGCTCCTGCTCATCCATCCGTCCTGCTCAGGCCCATCCGCCTCTTCACATCAGGCTCTCATCTTGCAGATACCTCTGGCGGACCCCTCTACCACAGGTGGGCGTACTCAGGGGCCGCGACCAGGCCTCGGGCTGCTCCAAGTCCATCCCCACCATAAGGGGCCCTGGTGAACAAGCAGACTGGGACTTAGACTCCGCGCTCTGGGGAATCCTATCCTGTGGGTTGCTAGAGGTCCCGCCAGGTGGTTCATTACAGGGTTCCTCGTCAGTAATAAGAGATCTATTTGAAAGATTTAACACATTGACAGTACCTGTTACATTTTGCAAGTTGGTATCTGCAGCGGATATCGGTTTCCACTTGTTCCTTCCTCATCTTTTTCCCCTTCTAGTCTTCTTATACCCTTTTGATGATTCTTTTTGTGGAGTTTGTGTTTCTGTTTCCCGTTTTTTGAAGGAACAGGTGTACTGGCTCTATTTTTCTGTCTGAAAGTAGGTTGTTGCATAGACGAGCGATCCAAATCAGAGGCACCCATTGTATCTTCCAAGAATTCTGCTTCAGTATCAGAGAAGCTCATGTGTTTTCCACCTGGAAGGTTACCCCAGGAACGCCGTTGTTTCCAAATATAGACCGTATTTGTATCATAATCTAATTTATCTCTTAATATTTTTTCTTTTTTTCCTTCTATGATTTCCTTTTCCAATCGATCTAATTTATTGTTAAGGCGTTTATCCAATTCAGCAAATTCAGCCGCATTCTGGAGAGGTTTGATGTCCTCCTGCAAAATGGAGATTTCTTTTTGAAGTTTTTCAATCTCTTTGGTTTGAGAAAGAATAATGATGTTCATGAGAGCGGAGGAGCAGGTGGAAAGAGTACCCATCTACTGATTCTTTAAATCCTCATCAAACAGTTAAAACTTGCGGAATTTCTTTATACGTAGGCCCCTAGGTATGCACTCAAGGGACAGACATTCAGATAGCTAACTGGAGTCCCAATAAGCTCTAATCTCATTTGTCATATTTCTTTCCAGGATGTGGAAGAGCAACTTGACAGAGCTTTCAGTTCCATCCATATTGCTGATTAATGTTTCATGTGCAGTAGCTCTGAGTGGATTATCTTCCAACAACCTGAACGTGCAGCTAGTGTCCTGCATGGGGCTGTTGTCCGCCATATCTCAATGAGTTGCAATCAGCAAAGATATAAAGTTGAGCCAAGCAAGTAGAGCAAACGAGAGCTTAATCCAAAAAGACAAGAGGGTACGCACCTGTTTTGGTTTGATGTTGATTGCTGCCTGAGCGGTATGCTCAGGCAGCAATCAACATCAAACCAAAACAGGTGTGTACCCTGGGTTGCCACCATGTAACATGCATCAGGAAGAAGGGTTGGCCGCACATCGGAGGAATGATGAAATACATGCATAAAGTTTATTTATCCATAGGACACCAAAAGCACCAGGACATGTATGTATGACATGGATGTTAACGCGTTTCACAGGATCGCGCGCTTAATCATAACAAAGAAAGAGTTGGAAATGTTGTCTTATATAGGCATCAATCAATAAAGGACACCTGTTCTAATTAGCATTCTCGAATCTCAGAGAAACGCCTACTGATACAATGTTATAGTGTGTAGAACATATAAAAACATGTCAAAAAGAGGGAAACAAAAGGAAAGCAAGAAAAACAGTCAAATGTATAAATGAAAATAGGGAGATACGTCATAAATAAATGAATAAACAAACAAATATCCCAAAAAGGGTACATGGATACAAAAATACCATAAACATCATGAATATACATATAAACAAAAATACAAAGATTATATATCCATTCATAAAATCATAAAGTCCATACAAATTCAGACAGATATGTGTCAAAAAAGTTCTTCCAAAAGATAAAACACCCAATGCATGGGAAGGAAGCCTAAGGAAAAAGAAGACCATGATGTAGGAAACAAAGGGGGACATACAGTACTTCAAAGATGATAAAACATAAACGTGCAGTGCTATAAAAAACTAATATCCATAAAAATCAAAATAATACAAAATCATAGAACAATTATAATGTCCATAAGAGGAGGAGGGTGATCTCTGGGTGGAGGACAGGTTGCACAGCGGAGGTCCCGGACAATTCATTTTTTTAGGTTTGAATTTGGCCATAAGTTTGGAACATCCATTTTGGAGCCTGTATTTCGATTGGGAGATCCAGTAGAAGGAGCTTATTGATGTCCAGTTGCATTTAATGCATAAAATACATCGCATTATCTCCATTCAGAACTAATAGAGTTCGCCATTTGAATTGGAAATCCACATATCCGCACATGCATTTTTGACTGTCACGTAATGGTGAGGTCATATATGTCTGGTAAGCGGCAGTAATTTTGAGGTGTTGGTGATGGTGGATTCGTAAAGAAATTTTTTTCATATTTCCCATTTTTTTTAATCACATGCAGAATTCGTTTGAAGTAAAAACATTATAAATTTTTATATAATTTTTTATAATTTTTTTGGACTTTGATTTGCACTTAGTGTCAATGAATATATATTTTTTTGGGGTTTTTTTGGCACATATGGACATTATAATTGTTTTGTGATTTTGCATTATTTAGATTTTTATGGATATTAGTTTTTTATAGTGCTGCACGTTTATGTTTTATTTTGTTTATGTATTGACACCTGCAATACTGTGCTGTCTGCTGTAGTATCATATTTATTTCACCATATATAGCGCAGAGTAATTGGTATTGTCCAATATTATTATTATTATACAGTATTTATAAAGCGCCAATAGTTCGCTCAGCGCTGTACATTACAAAGGGGGACAGAACATGTGACAGAACAATACCCATACAATGCAAAACATGAGGGGATTGAGGGCCCTGCTCTTTCGAGCTTACAATCTAGGAGGGAGGGGATGGTGGCACAGGAGGAGATAGCTGTGGGGGATGGAGTGGTAGGAAGAGTGGAGGAGGTTGGCAAGTTAGCAGGGGGTGGGGTAGGCTTCCCTGAAGAGATGGGTTTTCAGGGTGGACCTAAAGGATGCTTCAAAGATGATCCTACAGCCTTACCTTGTTCCTACACAGGACTGGGTGCTATAAGCGCTGGCTAGTCTCAGCTGAAGATTAAATTTTCAGCTACTCTACAACTAGCCCCTCCCCAGCCTGGCATTCTGTTTTTCAGTCGTGGCACAACCAATTGGAGGGACGCTCTTCTCTTCCTGTTGAGCTGCAGCCAATCTGAATGCTTTCCTCTTTTTGCCTTGTCAGTGTAGCCCTTGACTCCATCACCCATAAATTCCTGTATGTTGCTCCTGGCACAGTAAACAAATAACATACCACCACATCTCTGTCTGTGCTTGTGCAAAATGTGATGGCATGTCATCAGTAAAGGGAAGGGGTGGCAAGATGCAGAAGCAAACAGCTTAAAATACCATAAAAAAAGAAAGTAGGGTCCTTCAGTAGATAAGTATATACTTTATTGCAGGGCTCGACAATTCCCAGGTCGCCATAGCGACCAGCAACCGCATCCTGGTGCCTGGGCCCCCATCAGCCCACACGGCTCTGTTGTCTCCCACCTCACGTCCTTGGCTAGCACCTCTCCCCCGCACCACAAAGTGGAACCCAGCGTTCCGATACTCCTGGAGTCTCCCCCATCCCTTCCTATGCATCCCCATGGCCTCCTGCACTGACCTCCCCACCCACACCATGGAGCCCATCAATGTCGCCTTCAACTGCGGTAGTGCTCCCTATCAGAGGATGGGAGTCACCAGGGCCACCAAGTCCCATCACCTGTGCGATAGCTCCACCTCCAGCATGACGCCGATCCCCCCTCAACCGACCACAACAAGCAGGCGGAGGTGGCACTGCTAGACAGGTGAGAGCTGTCCTGCTGCCCCCTCTGGTGACGC